TAATTTGTTCTTTTATTAAAGTTTTATGAATAATGTACTCAAATAATACAAACCACCCGAATAAAATCTTATTACCCCCAGGAGTCTTACCTTCAACAACATACACCTTAGTCAAAGGAAAGTCAATATTTTTTGCCATTATTTCAATTTCTTGTTTAAGCGTTCCCTCAGGCAGAGGTGTGAATTTGTCAAATAAAGGAGCAATATAATCAGCATAGATTGTGACAAGCACCTGGAAAGTAAATGTCAGAAGAACCTATGAATATGTTCTTAAAGAAAAACTACTCATTATACAGATTCAATTACATTAAAACAACTATGTGATCCCAGTATTGAGAACAGGGACCTTCTTATTTGCTCTGGTAGTCCCAGCCCCAAATAGTACCAGACAGTTAAGTGCTCAATCTATTTGATGAATTAAATAAAAATGAGTAGTCTCTAGGTGGTAACAGTTGAAAAGTCAAATGGTCCATTCAAAACTATCTTGAGGATTTCTGATACTTTATAAGCCCATAGGAACTTGGAATTCTGCCTTTCAGATTAATCGTGATAGATATAAAGTCTTTGCTAAAAAGGAATTACTAGAGCTTGATTGTGTGCTGTTATTTGGCTGGTCTGTTAAAATTAATTTCCTGCAGTTCACAACTGTACGCTTTGGTTGAAACATCGCTTCCTCAATCATTTTTGGAGCATTTCCTCTGCTCTCTTTCCTTTCACTTCAATTTGTCATCCAACAGATATTTGTAAATTCAACTAGCCCCCGTTTTCTGATGTTGATCCCATCAGGGGGAAGTGAAGCAATGAGCACCACGGTAATTCAGACTAAAACAAACCTCCTCATCAATGGACTACAGGGATGATAGATGATATATTCTGGGGGCTGTGAACAGACCATTTTGATTGTGTTGTAGTGTTTGTGTTGTGAAGCAGTTTAGAATATGGGAAAAAGAAGAGTAAATGAAGATGTGAGGGAGGGAAAATGGGGGGGGTGAGAGGAAAAGGGAGGAAGAATGAAGAGAGGGAAGGAGAGGTACAGTGGGGGAGAAAAGGAAAGGGGAAGCAGGAAGAAGGGAGAAAAGGAAGGGAAAGGG